GTCGAAATGCACAGGAAGGACTACCCATAACCGCGAACTATTCTATTTTATGCCTTCTATTACCTGATAGAAGGTTGGCTTAAAAAATTCCTCACAGTTTTTTCAAAAAAATTGTTTTTTTTTTACGACGACAGTTATAGCACCCAGCGAGCCATTTCTAATGTTTTCAGCACGAAATCGCTGTCAAGTTGCTGCTTGACAAGCACATGCTGACAGCTGATCAACGACCGGCAAGTTGTAGATGTTTTGTCCACATAAGCGGTTCCTTCGAGGTCACCACTGTGTCCTATTAGACCATCAAGGGTTGATTAGTACCCTTCCCCAGAAACAAATGCTTGTTCTAAATAGAATGAATAGATCTACAGCTTGCTAACAGAAATGTAATTATTCTTATTTTAATAGCTCGAAGGACCAACTTTCTATAAACCTCAGCATAGATAGTTGATACATTTATTTATGTAAACTGTACCAACCTCGCGTCAGCTTAAAAAGATCAGTTTATAAGATCACATAAATAAATATATTCTTATTTTCCTTTAATTTTCACTAGCACAGTTTAACGCGAACCAAAATGTGTGTTGATAGCTGAAATCCAGATTCATAAGTTAAAAAAATCGAGACATTTAAGTTTCGCTCCAACTACGCATATCAATTATCATTACGGATACACCATATAATGGTAATTCATACTAACCGGAAAAGAAACTACTTCAATATACAGCGAAATAGACATATCTATATCCCACCACGTCTGGCGCAGTGGTTGGAGGCGCCGCTGTGACACGTAAGTGGAATCGATCCCCCACACATGGCTCACCAAGCCCTCCATTCCTCCGGGGTCGACAAATTGCTACCACACCTGTCTGGGTGGATAGCAGCACTGACTCGATAAATCGGCAGGCCACCGCGAGTCATTGTAAAGACCAGATATGCATTTAGTCACCTCCAACGATACTTAGTGAAGTCGAATGCATGGCGCATCCCTCAGGAATTGATCAATGCCTAAAGCTGTATCTTTTTTTTTAAAAATATCCCATCACGTAGGGAATCTACAGTTTTTTTGAGGAGTCAGCAAGAGCGTTTTTCTGCGATTCTGTCAGCCAGTAGTCACCAAGAAGCTCAAAAAAGTGGTCGTCGCTTGACGAGAGGTGTGCTAAGTATCCATGGAGTGGCCGACTGTCTTATGCCAATTTTCTCAGCATCTAAAGTTTCCAATGTGCGGTGTGAGTTAACTAAGTTGCCTCAATGCAGGGATTTATACTGAAGACAGAGGCTGCACTTCTTGGTGGATTTCTTTTTCTTTTCTGTTCAAGGATTCTCCACCGGAATGGTTTAATCGTGAATGAAGAAGTTCCTTGTTGACGTTCAGGTGAAAGATTTACTTCAGAAAGTTTTCAGTGCCTCATCTTTGTGTAACCATAATGCACAACGTCACCAGTTGAGGTGAGGGATTCAGTTCACATCTAAGACGAGGTAGCGTGATCGTTCCCGCTTAACAGAGAGACAAAAAGGCTCCATAAAAACAATTTTGTGCTCTTCTTTTATTCTAAGCAACGCTCATTTTTCAAGCCGCTTTTTCTTTTTTTGACTTTCCAATAGGATAGATGTGCTCCGACGCTGCCATCTTTCTTGCACTCACTTCTGTCACTTGCTCACAGAGCGTCATGATTGAATCTGCTTCGCCTATCGTCTTCCACGGACGGTCGGTGTCCCTGATAACAAGTTGTTCTTCATTAACAAGGATTCTGTGCTGATCAGAAAACTTCTGGGGCCAATCTCATAGAATCTGTTTGTTAACAACCCGTTCTCTAAGTTCATCTGTTCCCCGGACGCGACATGACGACAAAGTTAGGTTTATTGCAAAAATTATTCCGATTTTCTGTTTTCTATTCTTTTTTAAAACTACGTTTAAAAACATTAACAAAACTAAAGCAGAAACAGAACTTGTTTTAGGAGCGCTACTACAATTTTTTCTTTGGATATCGCTGAAGTGAATCCGAAATTTCATTCCTTTTAGGTTCTCTTTGTTCCAAAATCTACAATTGTTCTTAGACAGAAAGGGGAAAGTCCTTTCTGTGTGTTTTTATGTCCACTGGTTTCCATAATTCTTGTTGCTGATACACTGTAACTCTTCAGAATTTTCGTAAAAAACGCTTCTTCCAGCTCATTTTAAAATTTTTTCTAGAACACGTTTTATTCAGCTTAATGTGTAATTGCCACTTCAAATCGTCCGTGCCGAATTGTTCAACGAGTTCCTCCATATCGAATACCTGAATCCAAGTATGAGCTGTTGGTGTGGTTTTCAGTCCCAGCAGAATGCCACTCCTTTCTCTGTTCTTTCAGCCCAGAGAACGACGAAGGGGCAGGTAATTCATTAGGAGCCATGACATCTCTCGCATTGCCGTCCTCACTAAACAATATCATCCTGGTTCTATTTTCCAAAGTTTGATAGTTTTTTAAGTGCCTTACACTCAACATTTCCGTCCGCGAGCGTAACTAACATTAAATGTATGCATTAATTGGCATCGTTGTTGAAGAAACCAAGTCGCCAGATATCAAACGTCCTTGTGATCCAGGAAAACTGGCAAATACTTGTGGTGACATCTTAAAAGTGACCTCTTACGACTATAACGTTGCTGGAAAAAATAATCTTGTTCAACCAGCAACGTACGAGTGAGGTAGGGATTTTGCGGGAACCTGCACTAACCAGGCGAATGGTCCGTACAACTATCTGAGTATTCAAGTATTGGTCTCTACTGCCGAAAATTGAATCGACTCAATCAAGAAATTTCAGTGCATAAACGCTTCACAGGAAAGTCTTTGGTTTTGCACTACTTCCCACTCACTTTTCCCAAATTCTTTTTCTTAGAGATTCATGGACCATCCAATGCGCTTCCCTCTGCAAAACATTACGACACGTTGATCATGCCAACGGAAGGCGCTCTCTTAAACACCTCAAAAATTGGGGATATTTTGCAGCTATTTATTAGGTGCTTCCTCAGGCACTTAGAGGACTGACATTTTTGTGTTGCTTCTGTCATAGCACTTTCCCACTTGTTTCGTTATCTTGCAACTGCTTTCAGTGAAGGCGCTGGGATTGCCATGTAAATTCCGCTGCGGATTGAGATTTTGGGAGATGTCTTTAAGAGTCTCTGCAGCTAATTTAGCCCTGTAACAAACACAAAGATCCATCTCCCTGACTACCTCTACCAAAATCGTTCCGATATGTTTCAGCATTCTGGTCAATATTCGCTCATCTTGTACACTTATCGTCTAATTTCTTTATTAGACACAGCTTGTTCGCTCTCAGTTATGTTGGTATTAAGAAATTGATTAGTTGCGTTCCGTTGCTGCTCTATGATTACTCAAACATATCATTATTATGTAAGCCTTTCATTTACTGCATACTGTAATTTTTCACGGCACGGTGCTATGTGAAGTGCAGCCATAATGATGATGAGATATTCGCAGGACTTGGACCATAGGTCAGATCGAACGACAATTACCTGTTCCGGGTGGCCCGGCACCACTGAGGCCTTTGCTTTGCCTTTATCCCAACTAGTTTTCTCCCATATCGTTCATTTTTCTTTGCTGAGTTTATCTTCTAAGTCATCATCATCATTCCATCAGGTCTACGGTCTCAGCCAACTTATATTTTGCAACTAAAATACTTGAATATCTGTTCAACTCACTCCTGCTCGAGCAGAAGCTACATTCCTGTCATTCTTCGAGTAACTTAATAACACAAATGATTTCTTGTTTTTTAGAGCAGAATCAACTTCTCAATATTCCTTGTTAACAAGGACTTTTGCTCATTAAGTGAGTAGTTTAACTTGACGATATTCTCGCACTTCTTTGGGTTACTGCATCGCTCCTTCCTTTCGTTTATCCGTCGTCGACTCTTCTCATCTGAAAGGCGTTCAATTTCAGCCTTCTATTCAAGGCCTTTTATTCACCATTTTATAGCCAAAAGGGAGTGCATACCGAAGATCTGCCATAAAGGAAAAGAAGCGCTCAAAATTTTAACTATCACTGGGCGTTTTTCATCTTTTTTATGAAATGTTTTAGTGATAGTTATTGAGTATGAGGACCATTTCTGGCCTGTCTTGTTCACCCGATTACACAACTCAAGCTTCGCTCATTCATCGAAATGCTCTTCGACATGTATTGTTTAGTCGGTAAGCTAACAGGTGGTCGATAAACGTCCTTACGCGACTGAGGTTTCAACTTCTTCGCATCCTGAAAGCCAATGATCGAAGCCGATGTCCGCAGTCCTTCGTGTTCTCAATGCTTTTATCGTGTTGTTTATAGAGCAACATCTTCCACCAGTAACTTTTCCTCATGTTCTCACTACTCCGTTCAGTTTAACACCTAATCTTTCCTCTTCTAATCTTCTAATCTTTAAGTATTCTCTGTTTAGCACACTTTACTGTGATTCATTATCTTTGTCTTCCAGTTCACTGAGAAACTAACAGTGGCGACAAAATTGGAAGAGAAAAAGCCTGTCGATAATAAAGTTTGTTGGCTTAAAGCATTGCTCTCATATTATCGGCAATAAAAACCTATGGATAAGACTTTGGTTTCCGTGGATTATTTCGTGAAATAAGAGGGCACATCGATTTTACTCTATGGTTCCTTCTTCATATCTATGAAGTACGGTTCTCCTCGATTGTCAGAATTCAGTCACTGCTACTAAATAGAGGTAACTTGAAACGTCATTGAAGTGTGGGCCTGGACGGGATTAATAACGACCAGTAGGCATTCGAGTACAAACGGTAGCTGCATGGACTGGCAGAAACATCGTCGTCACGATGTCTGTTCTTCACTTCTTTTGCACAATAAAAACGACCCGTTTCTTGATCGCAGTGTGACCTGCACCCCCTGTATCACCTGTAGTCCCGTTGATCGTCGAGTGACTCGAGCGGGTGCCAGTAAATCTTCTATTTTTCCCCGTCGCGTGCACGAGTAGCCCAGTGGGTTCTGCTCGCTCTAGGGACTCGTCAAGCTTCATATCTTTCTTCTATGCTTTTCGCGAAGAACTCTGACCATCGAGTCAGTGGTCTTCCTGCAGTACGTTTGACATCCCGAGGAATCCAGTCACCAACGGCTCTTGTCCATCGGTTGTCATTCATACGCATTACGTGTCCGGCCCAACTTATCTTTGACTGCTTGGCGTACAGAACGGCATCTTTGATTTTTGATCGTTGACGCAGATCGGAGCTTCGGATCCCATCCCTTACTTGTGTGGAACGGGATACTCCTAGCATCGTCCTTTCGACAGCGCGTTCGATAACGCTGAATGACCTTTCATACTGCTTACTCAGCGACCGGGTTCTGACGCATACGTTAGGGCAAGAAGTACCGTTCAGTTGAAAAGGTGGGCACAGAGTCGGGTGTTCTCTGTTATTTTCACTACAACCTCGATGCTCTTGAAAGCTCCTCAAACCGCTCGTTTTTTTCTGCTCAGCTCTGGAGCTAAGTCGTTCATCATATTGATTTCCTGATCTAGATAGACACAGCTGGTGCATTCGGAGATATTCGTTCCGTTGAGCTTGAATGGGGTATATGAAACCAATCCGTTCTTCATTAACGTCGTTTTTGTGAGATTTAGTCCAAGACAAACCTTTCGATAGGTTTTATCAAAGTCGGCAAGCATATATTCCGCTTGGCTAATGTTTGGCTCGAGTGTATCCTGTTTAAGATGACTCGAGTTTTCGTGTTATGAGAACGATGTCATCAGCAAAGCGAAGACAATGTAACTGCCGACCATTGATTTTTACTTCCATATTACCTCATTACAATGTTCGCATGACGTTCTGGAGGGTGGCGGTAAACAATTCTGGCGGGATAGAATCGCCTTGCCTAACTACTCTTTTGACGTCAATGTTAATATCGTAGAATGGTGAAATCTTTGTTGTGAAATTTCTGTACAGCTCACGAAGAATATTTATGTACTGAGTAGGAACTCCTTGACTATCAAGGCCTTCCATGACTGCATCTATCTCTATTGATTCAAAGGCCTTCTGCAAATCGATGAAAGTGAGACAGGGCGGTCTTTTGTACTCTCGCGATCCTTCAGTGAGCCTTTTTATGTTGTGGATGTGGTCCATCGTACTAAATCCTTTTCGAAACTCTTCTTGCTCACATGGCTATCCTTCGTCCAGTGTTCTGTCAATCCTGTTTAAGATGACTCGAGTGAAAAGTTTGTAGACAACAGACAGCAAGCAAACTGGGTGATTGTTGCCGATATCGTGTAAGTCACTCTTCTTGAACATTAACACGGTTTTGTTGATCTTCCACTGAGTAGGGGCCTTGCATTCTGACAGGTAGCGTGTAAAGAGCCGAGCTAGTGTATTTGCGAGGGCTGGTGGTAGGTCCTTCAGGTGTTCTGCTCTTATACTTTCCGGACCTGGTGCTGTTCGATTTTTCGCCGACGAAATAGCATGTCGAATTTCGGAAGGGAGATCCGGTGGTACAACATATCCATCCTCATTTATTTTATATGACGGAAGTTGGACGTGGCTATCGAAGAGATCCGAGTAGTATTCGTGAATGATTTTCTCCATTGCCTTTCTGGACGGTGTAACTGTTCTGTCTGGGCGTCGGAATGCGGTATTCTTGGTCTTGTAATTGGCGAGGCTTCGGTGGGCTTTGCGAATGCTTTTCCCAGCCTCTGCAGCTTCGACCATTACTGCTGCTGTTCTCTCTTTATGATCTTTTATCGCCTGTCTGCATTGGTCTGCATGTTCGACGTTGGTTCGCGGTTGTCTGCAGCACGTTCGATTCCACGCTGGCGTATCAGCTCGAGTGTTTCTAGAGACAGACATCACTTGGTGACTTTTCAACTCTCAGCTTTCATAGCGCTAACGTGAAGATGTTGAATGAGCCAGTCTTCGTCGATGTTTTCGAGAAGGGTATCTTTCTAACAGCCGACTAATGAATTGAATTAGTCCCAGTTTGCGGTGGTTCTGGGACTTCGGTTTTGAAATTTAGCGGCTTTTTCTCCTTTCTGCGAGAAATAGAATCCTGCATGAAGGGGACGATGGTCTGATCCCGTGTAGAATTTTGGGACAGCATCGACATCGGTTAGGCAAAAACCTTCTATTTGCAATGATGTAGTTTATTTCGCAATGGTACTCTCCATCGGGAGACTCCCACGTCCATCGTTGAGGGTGGGGCTTCTCGAATTGCGAGTTACCATGGATGGTCTTGGTCGCCATGATAAACTCAGATAGCCGCTCATCCTGTTCGTTCCATTCTAACCCATGGTTCCAATGTGACGTTCTTCAGACGTTCTTCTTGGTCCAATCTTAGCACTGAAATCTCCAATGATGACGTTGAAGAATTTGTGGTCTTCTCTGTAGAACTTGCGCGAGTCTATATAGAACGGTTCGACTTCTTCTTCGTCATAATTTGATTTCGGCGCGTAGACGACGAAAATTGTCAGGGCTGGTGTTGATCCACATCTTTTTAATCGTAAACGTCCGATTCAGGTTCTAAACTGTTCGAATGAATCGATGTTAATGAAATAACACGTGTTAACGAGAACGCCGACGCCGCCGACTCCTCTACTGTTGCATGTTTCGAGGAACAGTTCTTTTCCAGTGTCATAGACGGCGTTGAAAGGCTGGTGTCTTCTCGTCTCGGCCAAGCCGTTGACGTCGTACCCGATCCTTCTTGCTTGCATGAGCAAGTCTTCTATCGAGGACTCCGATGCAAATGTACGTGCATTGTAGGTACAGATCGTCACCATAGTTCTTTGAAATGCAGGCAGATTCTATTGGACCTGAGATTTTAGCAGCCTCTCTGTACTTTTCCTACCCAACACTGCGAAATTGGGGACTCTTTCGGGATCAGGGAAACGAGGCCCGTTTTTTTTGCTGTGTTTAGCATTTTTGATACCCACAATATAGCTTGCTGGGCTCTGAACGTGAAGGCTGGGTATACTCACGGGTAGCTTGCCAGGCTCTCCCAGAGTGGACATGGAGCTTATTTGTTGGTGGCGATTCCTAACAGCCTCCTATACACTTCCTTATCACTTGATTGCAGGCTTTTGTTCGAATTGACTCGTAGAATACAATCCGCATAAGCAAGAACGCACCCACACACGTATGAATGAATACGCCTAGCAAATACAGAAAGTATGTGCCAAATCGGAGCAGCAGAAGCAGGGAGCCCATCCTCTAGATCCATCTGCGTCTCAGCGAAGCAAAGGTCGCCTTTGGTCCGCGATTAAGCCTCTATCCGCCACCTGAGGACGCACCACGTAGTCTCGCGACTAACCGGTTCGAGATCTCCCAAATGAGGGAAATCCGTTGAGATAGTATGAAAACTGGATCATTTAAAATGACAGATGTCGTTCACAACAAATTTTGGAACTTAATGAGAGTCATAAATAATTTTAAAAGTCCAGTTTCTGTCAAAAAAATCGTTTTAATAACTTCTCTGCTTTTGGTGGTCGGAATCATCCAATACAATGCATTAAATCCTGAGAAAAAAATCCTCAAAGGGTACTATCACGAGATCAACGACCTATTGAAAAATTTGCAGTACTCGTATTACTTAGAACTAGCCGGAAGAAAAGCCCATTGACAGTGAACGATAATCGTGGGTGCACAGCCAACGCTGAGAAGGTTGAGCTTCGAAACGCTTCTTAATCGAACATGTTATCGGACGCTTCATCAATGACCACTCGACAAGGAGCTCACCAGCTAGTTCTATGGAAAAATCTACGACAACCAAAGCGATGTAGAAAATACTTTCGAATACCCCGATTCCTTCAGAACTTCAGATTTGTTTGCTGTCGAATTGAATAAAACTATTTCTTGTTGGTGTAATTGTGTAGGATCAAACAGCTTTAACTTGGATAAAGTTGTCCGAATAAGATAAATTTGTGTCTGACCCGAGTTTTCGCTGCTTGAAGTTGTATTGGACGAACAGCATTCACAATAAGAATACATCACAAATAAGAATATTTTAACTCGTTAAAGCTTGCTAAGCGGCGCGTGTGGAGCAGTGGTCAGAGGCGCCCTCCAACACACACGTGGAATCGATCCTCGCGTCCATGGCCCACCAAGCCTTGGATCTCTCCGGAGTCGGCAAATTGGTGCCAGACTTGTCCGGGTGGATGGCAGCACTGGTGCGAGCCAGTGCTCGATACATCGGCAGGCCATCGCGAGTCATTGTAAAGGCCAGTTATGCATTCAATTGCCTCCAATGATGCTTAATGAGGTCGAATGCATGGCACATCGCTCAGGGATTAATCAACGCCGAGAACTTTATCCTTTTTTTTACAAGGATTCGTTCTCCGTTGGGCGTGAGCGCCAATGGTCCGAAAAATCGCGGCCGAATTACATCTAGAGGATATCCCGTCTTACTCTTCAGTGGTTTCAAATGAGTGAGGGGATTTATTGATGTCAGAATGACCGTCACAACTTGATATTTTCAATGAAAATATATTATGGTGACTTCGTTATCATGCTCACAGCATCATGTCTCTAGATAATTTTCTGTTCATGCTTACAATCAGATCTTAGCAGTAGGCCTAAGTACATTTCGTCCATGTTCTTACATCAAAGAATTTTCCTTGCTTTCATGTTATTTAGTAGGCCGTCGCTTTTCTGACTTGCTTTTTCTTAGATCACTTCGTTACCTTATTCGGACGTCTTTACTTTTTAAGTACTGCTCTACTCAGCATGTCAACGTGCCCACATCATGTGAATTCTCCTCTCATTTAACACTGTACTCGATTCGACTTCATCCTTAAAGCCCTTAGATAACGCAAATATTACGTCATTCACCACTCGCACGTCTCCTCGTTAAACTACGATTCATAAAAGCTCCAGGTTATTTGGACCGAGGGGCACGCAAAGTGCAGAGCTACTTTTCTTCTACGATTTCTATGAAGAAGTTCCTAGATTGGTGATGATGCTGTTTTGCGTCTGAAATCTTAATCACCGGCTGCTTTTCTCCAGCTCTTTTCGTTCGAAGGTACTACATATCCTCCTCATTTTGTTTTTGACAAAGGGGCATCAAGCGCAGTACCTCTATGCGTCATCTATAGATATGCATCACTCACTGCACTTTTTATAAAGTGTCATATCTACTTCAATATGGAATATGTCGGATTATCAAAGCAGAATCGTACGGAAATCAAGTAAGCATTTATTGCTATAAAAAAGGATAAAGCTCCCGGCGTTGATCAATCCTTAAGGGATGCGCCATGGAACCGACTCCATTAAGCATAGTTGGAGGCAACTGAATGCATATCTGGCTTTTACAATGACTCGCGGTGAACTGCGGATGTATCGAGGCAGTGCTGCTACCCTCCTAGACAAGTCTGGTACCAACTCGCCGACCTCGGAGTGATGGAAGGCTTGGTGGCCCATGGGCGCGGGGTTCGATTCCACGTGTGCGCCACGCGTCCTATATTTCTTGCTGTAAGCTACAAATTTGACCTAGCAAAAAAATAGGATTCCTTCAAGTCGTTGTTGCGGTGGCCGTGCAAGAACTCGGAACCCGTCACATTAATACTGTCACCCGGAAGAGCAAGCTTGAAGGTCTTCCATATAAAGAACAGAGCGCAATATAATTTTTCACTGCCTTAGTTCCTTCTTTCCTATCTCTCACACTCAGTAGCAAAATCTCTCCCTTGCCTATGAAACTGATCAACAATCCTTTCGATCAGAAAGTTAACTAAATTTCACGTGCAGAGTTGGTGATGACAACTACTTCGGTTCTTCTACCTCTGGACCGATCACAGATTTTTGAAATCCTCTTATTTGTAGTAGACGCTTAACCTAACTTTTTATTTCTACAAAGGATACGATTTAAGTCCATGGATTTGAGTAGTCTAGTTTTAAAACATCTTCTACTAATCACATACGGGAGAGAACCCTCATGGACCAATGATCAATCGTTTGTAAACTAACTTCACTTAAACCGATTCCCATTTGCTCTCACTCAGGAGCGATTTGTTATCCGAAGCAGGTGACGGCAACTTCGCGGGGATGTTTATTCACACATCTTGGCGGCTTATTGCCAAGAGCAGTGCCAAATAAAATAGGAAAGCTAGCGAAAAATTCTCTAGCTTCTGCAAGCATTAAAAATAAAAAATAATAGCAAGGCTTGACTTTTTTAGTGTATCATTGTAATCGTAGCTCTGTGGTTTCAAGTAGGTGTGAGCTTCTACGAAGAGGAACCGCAGAAGAAGGTTGAAATCACAGTATTCTGGCTAGATGCTTATGTTCCCTTTTTCTCATTCTTCGTTCCACAGTAGTTTTTGTTCTGCTTATTCTCATCGAATCGCATAGGATGCTTCGTCGTTTCGTATCGAATTTACTAATTCATTCACTCTTATATTTCTTCTTACAATCCCTTCCTTGATGACGACCACTTTGAGAACGAGTAGTGCGAGTGACAAAGGTCTCTTACAAGAGTGGAATTTATGCGAAGAAAATCAAGAGAGAAGAAGCCAAGCATTATTGAAAATTTGTTCAAAAAAGTTTTATTACAAATAGGAAGTGGGCGCTTATGTGCTGTCTATTTCTGTGATTTTTTTCTTGACTTCTTGCAATTCCAGCTGATTATCTCACGAAACGCCTACTAATCTCATACAAACTCTTTGCAGACGACCGCTGCGGCCATCCGAAACGTTTTACTACAACTAGCTGCTTGATTGTCAGAATGGCACGAATGCTGTCAATGGCGGGGCCACATCGTCCACCGGCCCACAAACCAATTAAAATGACACGCACATCGCCGACAATGCGGAGTAGCAGCGGCAATACTCGCGCTCTCCGTCCGTAGCCCGCCTTCCGCGCGGAGGTGTGTTCCTACCTCGGCGTCAACTCAATCAGTGTCGGGTGTCGTCGACCGTTAATCGCCAGCTTTTGTTGTCTGACGTTAGACGATTCCTTCAAATAAACGTCGTTAGCCACTAGCAATTAGCAACAGCCAAAGCCGTCAAATGCAACTACTAAATGCCACGTAGCAGTATTTTTTACTTTTCTGTGGAAGCGCTGTTAAAATTAATTTCATGTAGGCATTCCATGTACGCATGTACTGAGGCATTTCTATAACTCTCAAATACCGTACTTACATATAACGCAGTTTTTTTGAGGTAATGGAAAATGTTTCAAATCGAGAAGAGAAACTCGATGTGCTATTGGAAAAGAAGATTATTTGCCAACGAAGTAATTGATTTAGCGTTAATTCTGTAGATCTCGTAGGGCCAAATTCCCTTATTCTCTTCGCGTGCAGGTTTTTTTAAAGCCCTGTTCACCTAAATCGTTTTCAATTTCACTCAAAGCCGTTGTTACTGGTTTTTTCCTCTATTTCTTCACCGTTCGTTATCCTTTCTAATGTTTTTTTCTCGTATGTGTTTGATGGAAGGATTCTCGAGGAAGATTTTTTTCCAATTAAATCGCGCTGTATACGATTTAAATAAGTTAGTGAAAGAAGTTTAGGTAATTTCCCACTCTTTTGTGAAGCAGCGCATTGAACTTCTTTGATAATGAAGGAAAACAGCTTTAAAACTGTCGAAGGTAGCTCTCAGCTTTGGGATTAACGAAAGGCAATTGATTGCTTCCGAATAATTCTGACCCATCCGAATGAAGGTCTACTTCGCTTCTTGGATACAATGGTTTACTTGACAACCAATCAGCCTAATACTCTCTAGCAAGGGTTCATCAATCATCTCTGTCCTTTTCATGCCTCACTCGACCAAGGACTGTCTTCTCTCATAAAATTTCTTTTAGCAAATTTTCAGCAAGAAGCAAATGATTTTGATCACTTAGGTTTTATAGATTCCTTATTTCAGCACTTCTCAGTTTTTTAGGCAACTACGTTGGAAATCTTATTATCTTTCGTGGTGTGTCTTACAATTGTGTGGAGTAGAGTAGAACCCTTGAGGAATTCTCATTAGTGGCTTCATAGTGTTCGTCCTCTTACATTTTCTTATTATGTACGACGTTTTCAATAAAGTTTTATCAACTTCTAGCCTCATGTTGTTATTTTTTCAGCTGAAGTATGAGGTAATCTTGGAAAGCTCCGAACGCGGCGTTATCTCATGTCCACTTTTATCCCACAGTCATATTAGCGTCGCGAAAGATTGCCTTTCATCTTATGTATTTATACATTGCTACTGTATTTTATGAAGACGAACTCATTCACTCAAGAATTCTTCATCGGTCTTCTCGCGCTGAAGCCAGCAGTTTTTTTGTCGAGCGAGTGAAAAGCGCTGCGTATCATAGTCCATCGTACCCAGTTAGCTCTACGGTTTCGTTTTATTTTAGTTTTCAAAATACGTTGTGATTTTCTTCGCCACATCAACTTTCAGACATTCCCAACACAAGTTTTGTTTCTCCTACACTTTGGCGATCATGAGTCTGACTGTTGTTGCTGTTGTTGAGCTAATTAAATTTGTTGTTTTCCTACCGCAATGAATTTCCGACGTCGTTCATCTTCTAAATTCTCCAGCTCGCTCACCAACAAGCCATACGAGAAAACGTAAACTCTTTATCGGATTTCAAATGAATGAATCGTTTTATTTGGATGATGACGATCCGTGTGCTGTCGAGTGCAGTGATCGTCGATTTTACATGGCCGTCGCTGGCACGCTGCTCTCGTTCGTCTCGTTGTTCTGCAACGTGCTCATCGCAAAGGTTCGTTGGAAGCTATTCCAAAACAATATTTTCTTTTTCAGTTCTCAAACCTCGGATTACAATTTCCATGGTGATAGCGTCCGTTTAAAAAGACAAAAATGCTTAGGACTTCTTAGACTCGTTTTTCATTAATTTTCATATCGACTATGGCTTTTCTTCATTAACGCACATATCAGCGTGTCGGGTTCATGTCAGTCACTACGATGCCTCACTAAATGAAATCATTTTTAATTCAAATGATGGAAGAACAATTCATTCGCCGTGTGCTTATGAAACTAGTCTGCTAAAAGGAAATCCAATTAAGGAAATCGTCTTAACTTTTATTTAATGCCCCTTCTTCTTTTTTCATAGTATTGTACGATGTGAACTGCTTTCACAAGAATGCTCAAATATGAGCTAAACGTAAAATCAAGTGGGCTTCGAGCCAGCAATTTCACTAAGCGAGGGCTCACGTGCTATCCACCACACCAGCCCAGGCCCTTGCTTCGCCTTTCTTTTAAACACATCTTTACTCTATCGTTGCTCTGTGTTAATTTGGTTCACTACCGACTTGTGCTCGATAGATCCCGTTTACGGTTAATTGCTGATAGGAATGATAGGGTAGAAAAATGGCTGAGAGGAACGCAAAGCAAGGGCCTCGCTTGATGCAGTGGATAGCATGTAAGCTCCTGTAACTATGTGTTGAGGTCCAACTGAGGTTCCGAGTTTTGCTCACATGTCAGCACCCCTGCGGTTTTAAGGATTACATACGATTAGAAGCCGTAGAAGTCCATAACAAATACAACAGGAAAAGTATTTAGATAGTACGATTGTGAAAATTGTGCGTAGTTTGGCTTCTCACTGCAGCTCAGTTGGAAATTTGAGAACATATGGATCTCGATTTTCAGTTGTTAATACTTTGTCTTTTAATTTTACTGAGGTATGCTTAGAGGAATTTAGTCACAATGGAGAATTTTCTAGATCACCTATAAGAAGAAAGTTTAATTAGAATTTCAGTTATACCCCTCGGCCAAAGTTGTAAGAAAAGCCATGAAAAATAGATGTAGAAAAACTGCGCACAAAAGCCGTTTGGGTTTGTTGCAAGCCGTCTGACATGTTTAGAATCAGCTCGCTTGGATTGTCGACGGCTACTCGATCACCGCATAAGTCAAAAACGTTAAATGCCGTTCTTTTTAGGTTCTGTACAGCTCAAATCATGGGCACTTCTTCTTCTTAGCCTTACTAGCCATCAGCGACAGTTTTTTGTCATTTATGTACGGACCGGTTATCGCCATGGATATTATAAAGGATAAGCTGAAGGTAAAGAATTCGATGAAGAGCCTAAATCTCATAGTATTTGAGGTTTTAACAGAAAACGAAATATTTTGGACAATATTTATTTGTGTTTAGTATGTACTGCTCCGATAAAGCGGTTTCTATCAATCTTCTAGCAGGAGGCGTGAAATGGTTTAACCCTTACGCGACGACGTGACCTCTACATGAGTCGACTCGAAAATAATGCTTGCTTCGTTTTCTTGCTCAGCAATCGCGAGGTTTTTAAACAGCATACATTTACTTCCATAAAAACACAATACAATACAACGCTAGCTGACGTTTCGGCAGTATCGCCTTCTTCAGAGCCTGGAAGGGTATACTGATATACAATCTACTAGGCCAAACGCTTCAATAACACTTACAAAAAGACGAAGAACTCTCCGGTAATTACACAATCAACAACTTCTCGAAAAACCCACCGCTTTTTCGTGACTTCCAATGAGGAAGTTTAGAACAGCTGATTATAGTCGCATGTGGTTGACGACTGCACCATCCCACATCAAAAATCGA